TAAAAGTAGCAAAAGTCTAGCTAAAAATTAAAAGTAGCAGAAGTGTAGCTAAAAGCTAAAAGTAGCAAAAGACTAGCTAAACGTTAAAAGTAGCAGAAGTGTAGCTGAAAGCTAAAAGTAGCAAAAGGCTTGTTAAAAGTTAACAGTAGCAGAAGTGTGGCTAAAAGCTAAAAGTAGAAAAGGCTAGCTAAAAGTCAAATGTACTAGAAAGGTAGATTAACAACTCAAAGTAGGAAAAAGTTAGCTACAAGCTAAAAGCAGCTTAAGAGTAGATACAAAGTAAAAGTTGCATTTGAAGACAAAAGCAAATAATAAAGACGACACATTTTTAGAAAATGAATGGGGAAAATATTTTGAAATAAAGTTAAATATTTTGAAAAGGATAAAAGTCACAAAAACCAAAAGTCACAGCAGCTATCTCCTGAACGAGCTGAACCTTAAAGAGCTGCAATGGCTCAAGTAGATAGAAAAAAGTTGATTACAAACAAAATAAAACAGTAAAACGGATAAAATCCTGACAACAAACTATGAACTCTATCAAGCTGAATATAAACGTAGTTTGTAAAAGGCTCCGTCTAAAAAATGTAAATTAACGGTAAACTTTCACTTGATGTTAATCAACTGCAAATAGACACAGAGGAGATGCTTTGTCAGGAAAATGATAGGTTTGACCGTAGGAGGGTTAAAGAACTGCCAACACAGGAAAAAAACCACGTTAATGAACAGAAGGAGCTGTTCTTATTCAAACACTAATTTTAGGTGCAGAACTTATCATTCTCGCTCTGATGGGGAATTTCTGAAAGACACTTAATTGTCTCTAAAATAACCTGAGCCAGAGGAGAGTGGAGATGATTTCATCGTTCAAGAAGGACATGTGGAGTATTTTATTAACAAAGTGATGACGGTCTGAAAGTTGAAAGTTCAACTGTAATAAATCAACTTTATTTTGACTAATGTTTTTATTTTAAATAGATGTATCCATATTTTCTGACTGCTCCATAAAATTATTGCTTTGAATCATATTGCGTTTCTAGTAAGAGTTCAGTTGTTGCTTAATGTTTATTATCAAAACAATTAGGAGCAATAAGTGAAGTAAATAGTTACACTCGTAACGTGAAGCCCACAAATTAAACAGGTTTTTACTCCATTTCAAAGAATAACCCATATGTTCTGTACAGGTTATAGAGAAATTTCAGATTAAAAATGTAATTTGATGAGTTTGGACCATTCTCCAGATATTTGTAGTAATGTATATTAGAATTCTCCTGGTTTTCCAAAAGTATAAGCAACAACAACAAAACAAGTAAAAATGGGCAACTCAAACAAATTGGACAAAATATTATGATGTTTTGTATTACTGAGAATAAAATTCAATAATTTAAATTTGTGATAGTTAAAAGGTTTGACTCTGTTAAAACCTTGTGCGGTATAATTGAAGCTCAGCGTTTCTGCTGACAGATGGTGTATTGTCTTTTTCCAAATATGTGTATTCTGCTTCTTTTTTTAAATTTTTATCATGTTTTTTTCTGTATAATTAGAAAATGCTACTGGATGCCTCAAATTTCCCCCTGGGATTAATAAAATTATCTATCTATCTGTCTGTCTGTCCGTCCGTCCATCTTCACCTTTGTTGTTTTACAACAAAATAAATTTCAAAATACTTTATTTTATTTATTTACCTTTGTTAAACATGTAATGTCATTGAGACACAAGGGCTCATGATCAAATATTGTTTTAAGTAAACATAAAAACGTAGTTATCAAAAATCTATGATAGCAACTTATAATAAAGTCAGATACACACTTAGTAACTAACTACCTGATATGTACCAGGTGCCTACGGGGGCTGGGCTGTAGCATGAAGTGAATAGTTATACTATACATACAGGTAAGAACTTGATACGTACCTGGTACTCACCTGGTACATACTGTGTAATGTACCAGGTGTACCAGGTTGTACAAACCAGGCTACATACCCGGTGTGTACCAGATATGTGGTCTGTAAGTACACAGTGACAAAACAATTCCTGTGAGTACAAGTACAAGTATATACCTGGTACATAATGAGTTGTATCATGTGTTACTTATAAAAATGTTTCTCCTTTCTATTACATTTTGTTTGCTTCCCTTTATGATGTTTAAAAAAATTTCCCTTAGCATACACAGTGCCAGCTCCCAAAAAAGTCACTTCAGGATAGACACAAAAATTAGCAAGTCCAAATTATGACTTATTTTAAAATACATCATATATATATATATATATATATATATATATATATATATATATATATATATATATATACTAAATATATATAATAAAAAGCTGTAAGAAAACTATCAGATTGTGTTGACTCTACTTCCGCCCAATCCCCAATCTTGAACAAGCATTAAGACAATGGTGAAAAGCCATTATCATTTTAGGACATTTTAAAACAACAAAAACATCAAAAAGGCTGAAGTTTTTACAAACTTGATACACCAATATTTTCTGAACCCTGAACTTCGAGTAAAAATGTTTACGAGAGCCCCCTGCAGACCACAGTGATCAAAAGGTCTTTGCTGTTTCTTGGTCACAAATCCTAACCTTGATGGATTGTTTTTACAGGAACAACAATCTACCACATTGTTATCTGCAAAGTGTTTGTTGAACATCAACCTTCAACCCCTTAACAGCGCCATTCTTTCCCTGTGTAACAACACAACACATTTGGATAACGTATAGACCCCAAAGACCCATACTGTACTGTAGCTCAAGCATGCTGTGACACATGACACCCATATGATGATCCAGTGGGGTCTAATGCAATGAGCGCTGTGACTTATGGGGCCTTCTGTCTGCGGGCAGGTAATTATGGTGACCGGCGATCACCCAATCACAGCCAAGGCCATCGCGAAAGGTGTGGGCATCATCTCTGAGGGCAACGAGACGGTTGAGGATATCGCCGAGAGACTGAACATCCCTCTGAGCCAAGTTAACCCCAGGTGTGTGTGTGTGTGTGTGTGTGTGTGTGTGTGTGTGTGTGTGTGTGTCAGAGCAGGTTCTGGCTGTGTGCCCAAGCATCCAAGGGTATCTCACTGTGAGATTGTGTGAGTGGCTCAGGATGTGTGCGACGATGCGTCTCCTGGATGTGTGAGCAAGCAAGGTTACGTGTTCAAAGAAAAAAGCTGGGAAATGTATTGATTCAAGACAGATACCCCCTTAAAATGAAGCTCAAGCCAGGTGCTAACAAGATATTTGGCAGGAAATGTAGGGAAACAACTGGCTTTGAAGTGACCAAAATATCAAACCTTCAAAGAATAAAAGAAAAAAGTAGAGGTCATCTGGCAATCTCAGGCTTTACAGACACGTCTCTGATGTGGGCCCAATGGGAAAATGACAGTAAAATGACAGTAAAAGACTGAAGGACTTCTACTGAGAGAGATTTTTCCTCTGCCAGGAAGTAATTATTACATATAACCTTGTCTCTTTATTAAAATTAAGGTTAAAATGATCAATAACAGCATATTTTCAACAGTTTTATTACATAGATCCCACCCACACATGAGTAGTTTTAGTGAATTAGTCAAGGTTTTTTGTTGCTTCAGCACTGCATTCTCCCAGAAAAGGCATTTTAGGAGCCCTTTAATGGGATTTTTAAAACTGGGTTTCAGAATGAATAAATCTTGAATTGCAACCTTTGCAAATTTCACGTGCAAACTTAAAAACTATGATATCATAGACCTGAGGTCTGCAACGTTTTTGATCAAAAGAGCCATTTCTGCCCCTTTGCTCATAAAATGTGCCTGGAGCCACAAAACCTGCTACAACTGTGATTATCAACTGATGGCCCATGGGCCACTGAGTTTGTTGGAGGGGTGATGGGTGGGGGGTGGGGGGGTTGGCTTTTCTGGACAGTGGGGGTGATTGTGTCAGGAAGGGCATCCAGCATAAAACAAATTGCCAAATCTTTCATGCGGGTGGTGACTGGGACTCTGTGTACACAATTTTATTCTACCACATGTACCACATGTGATGCGAATGACAAATAAAGAAACCTTGACCCTTGACCTTGACCCCTGAAGAAGGGAGCTGCCAAAAGATACTTACTTAGTACTTTAACAATTTCTTGTGGGATCAATAAAGTTCTTATCTTACTAGTAGTTATTGGACAAAAATTTACAAAAAACAAACAAACTGCCAATACTAGTCTTTTCTGTTGTTGGTATACAAATCAATGCAATTAAATTTTATAAAGTTTTGGTCAAAGCTCCAAAGAGCTGCTGATGAGGGACAGGCAGAACTTTTACTGACTTCTACCTTGAGTCTGTGTTGGTCCACTCAGTTTCGAAACATCCAAAGTTAAATGGCCACACCAATGGACCATGCCTGAGAATAATCCCCCAAATCTGATCCATCCTGCCAAAAGCATTTGAGTCTGGGTGCTCGAGGCACAAACCAAGCCATCATATAAAGCAGGCAGCCTGACCAGGTCCAAATGTGCTGCCGATGACTTCCTCGATTGTAGATAAACCAGGACCCAACCGAATCCAGAAAGCAGGAAATCAGTTATCATAAATCCAATTATATTCTGTATGCATCCTTATAACCCACGATTGACATCAGAGACATCATCAAGTCTTCCAAGTTGATGAGATATCCAGCTGCGTGCGTGCCAACAGGGCAAATCGACTCGCCTAAAGCCTGTCTTTTCTTCAAAGAAATGTTATCAATTGCATTGAGGGACCAACTGACCAAATCCATAGCAGAATTAAGATTCGGAAGATTTGTAGAAGAGAGGCTCTAAGCAGTTTCACAGACAGGACAGAGCAAAACAAAGTGGAGAGGGAGAGGAGGGGAAATGTGTCCGCCCTTGACAAGAGCAAGTGTTGAAGTAAAGAGCCACATGTGACCCCAGAGCTGCAAGTTCCAGATCCCTGTCATAGACCGACTTCTAGTGGAATTAGAGTAGGCAAACTCATGAAAGTTTTGGGAGTTGCTTTAAGATGGATTCCCTTCTTCACACAACCTGGGCTTGAACTTGCAGCCTCAGGTTAGCAAGCCTGCAGCACTGACCGCCCAGCTACCGTGGCCCCCACTTTGATGAACTGTCAACTGTATGAAAAGAACAAAATATACATATTGCAGGAAAACCATAACTCTACAGCAGATTGTTCTTCTGTTCCCCAAGGTAAGCAACGGTTGCAGAGCAGTTCGTTTGCAGCTTTTCTAGTCAAATGCATTTTGCATTTTCCCACTTTTTAATTATATCTCTCCACTGCACGAGTCTTTAATGACTGTCCATGTGCATGTGGGGACAAACTTAAAGGGTAGCCAGAAAATGTTTTGCATACTTCGTCCTTATTATCATTGACACCATACCGGTTTGTGCACTTGTGTGTGTTTGTGTTATTCACAGGGATGCCAAGGCTTGCGTGGTGCACGGCTCGGACTTAAAGGACATGAGCTCCGAGTTCCTGGACGACCTGCTAAGGAACCACACCGAGATTGTTTTCGCTCGCACCTCTCCTCAGCAGAAGCTCATCATCGTGGAGGGCTGCCAGAGACAGGTCGGTGGTCAGAAGTGTGTGTGAAAGAGTGTGTGTGTGAATGTGTGTGGCTGGGCCCTTTTGAGGGCTATCAGCTGGATTTCTGTGCAGGTTCATGTGGTTGAATTCAAGCAT